TTATCTTTATTTTGTCATTAAAAGATACATGCATTGTGCATCTATTTAATATATGCTATGAATGTCTTTCTCTCTATCATGATGTCAGTGTTACATTACAGATTCTAAGGTGCCATATCCTTTAAACATGATTTAATTAAAATAAAAATATAGAATTCGATGTGACTACTGCTTCTGCAATGAAATTGAAAGATGGGAGAGTGAGATTTTTCTCACAGCTATTGAGTGGCAGACCTGAGAACTAAAATCCAGTCTCAGAGCCGACTTATAATCTCACAATGTGAAGGCAGTAATCTATCTATCTATATCATTGAACATCTCATGTACCATATCTTGTATATCATTAAGCTTATATGTAGACAAAATAGTATTTTGTGCAGCAGTGCCTCTCAAACATTAATAAATGAATAACCTGAGGATCACATTAAAATGCAGATGCTGATCGGGAAGTCTAGAATGGGACCTAAATGCTGCATTTCTAACAAGTCCGTAAATGATGCTAAATCTGCTGGTCCTCAGGCTACTCTTTAAGTACAAGGATATAGTTGGTTTTAAAAATAGTGACATAAAGATTTTTTGCTATTTTTGTTTTATATATCAATTTTTGTATTCACTAAAGTACATTCTGGATGCAACCTTCTTTAATACAATGGAAAAAGAAAAGCCAACTTGGAAAGACTTGGATTGCACACCTTTTAAACTTAAAATGCTTCTATTCATTTCTCCATATGTTGTATTTCCTAAATCACTCACAATGTTTTTATTTTCTACCCCTTTTTTATCAAATGAGAAACAGTACTCCTCTGACGTTTTTCAGTCATTATCGTCCATACCGCATTAAATCACCTCATTCTTCCTAAAAAGCTCTCCTTGTTTTCTGACCTTTACTGTCTTGAGTTTCCGTTTCTCAACCCCTAACTCATGCCCAAATCCTGTTCTCTGAAGTTTTCTCATCTCTCTTACTTTCTTCTCCTTGGGAACTTCCATCCATCGCCACATATTCAAACATTAAATTCCATAATCACTTCTGCATCAGTATCTTTCGTTCTGAAGGCTTTTCTAAGTTTTATTCTTTTATACCCAATGGAATGGATGCTTACAACCTCACAGCCCATTAAAGTCAACATGCGGAAAACCAGAATCCGTATCCTTCTTACCATTAGGTCAGCATTCCATTCTGACAGTAAATGTCAGAATAAATTCTGACCTTGAAAATTGTCCTATCTCTAACTTCAACATTTTTTTCTAACTAGATCTTCCATTGCTTTTAAATATATGGTTGCGGTGGCTCACGCCTGTAATCCCAGCACTTTGGGAGGCCGAGGCGGGTGGATCACGAGGTCAAGAGATCGAGACCATCCTGGTCAACATGGTGAAACCCTGTCTCTACTAAAAATACAAAAAATCAGCTGGGCATGGTGGCGCGTGCCTGTAATCCCAGCTACTCAGGAGGCTGAGGCAGGAGAATTGCCTGAACCCAGGAGGCGGAGGTTGCGGTGAGCGGAGATCGTGCCATTGCACTCCAGCCTGGGTAACAAGAGTGACACTCTGTCTCTAAATAAATAAATAAATAAGTAAATAAATAAATAAATAAATGATTGATTGATTGATTGATTGACTTAAATTAGCCTGAATCCTGTTTCCAGAATGTGCCTTGAAATTCCCAACGTCCATGCCATTTTCACTCTGAATCTAAAGATCTCATACCAGCCTTTGCTTATTCCAATGTTGCATATTTTTTGACACCTACATGAAATGCTACAGCTTTTGTGGTATATTCTCTAATCCCTTACCTGAAAGTGATTTCTCCTCTTCTGAACTGCTATAATACATATTCTGTGTTGTTTAGTTGCCAACCCACACTATACTATACATTATAGATCTACACAAATATCTGCTGCTATCCGAAACTTCAAGGCTCCATCTCTTCTCCATTATTTTCCCAAACACCACTCACAGCAGGTTGTTGTGAGTAATAAAATTTTATTTAAAGTTTTGAAGGTTATGCAGGCCAATTATAGCAGAAGCAGGAATCAACTGGAATTAGACTGGTAGAATCAGAGCTCTTAGACATGTGTCAGACAGACACTCCCTGAACAAGTCTGTCAATGGACACAGAACGCCTCACCTCCAGATACTTCCTCTTGCATCTCTTCTGCCAGTATCATAACCCTCACAAAAATGCCAAAACTTAATGCCTTTTGCTTCATTATGCAATAATTTCCCCTTTTTTTGTTGTTTAAACTTTCCAGCACTTTGGGAGGATGACGTGTGCAGATCACCTGGGGTCAGGAGTTTGAGACCAGCGTGGCCAATGTGGCGAAGCCCCATCTCTACTAAAAATACAAAAATTAGCCAGGCATGCTGGCCGATGCCTGTAATCCTAGCTACTTGGGAGGCTGGGGCAGGAGAATCACTTGAACCCGGGAGATGGAAGTTGCAGTGAGCTGAAATGGTGCCACTACACTCCAATCTGGGGGATAGAATGAGACTCTGTCTCAAAAAAAACCAAAACCAAAAACAAACACAAAAACCCTCATCTTCCATAATCAAATAAATTTTTAAGTATTTTCCTAAGCTTGACAGCACTTCTGTCTCTCAGAAAAATTCTGCAGTCCTGTAGTGGTCTTGGGTCAACCAGCCAAAAGTAAACTAATTTGGATAACAGCAGCACTATAAAACAGGCAAAATTATTATCTTGATTTTATATGTATACATATTTTCATGTGTATTTCTCCTTTTTCATCTATTTGGAAAACATTTTTAGGGAAGTATCATATAGCTTCAAACATTTTTGTTAATTACAATATGGAAGAAAAGAGAGTTCAAATCTTTAATCCACCATGTGTGAGTTAGAGGACTTTAAGCAAGTTATTTTCTTAGGAATCCTGTTGCCTGACCTATCAAATGAATATAAGAATACCTACCTCACAGAAGTGTGATGACATAGATAATTTCTATAAAATCATTTAGTTAGAGTCTTGGCATACAGTAGGAGCCCTGCTCTCAGTACAAGTTTAAAATGTCTGTTGAATGCAAAATGGTCACTCCAGTGAGCTTTTTTCAAACTTTAAAGTGAGTATAGTGTTTCACTGCAGGATCCCAAAAGCTATTTGATGCTATGATTTCTTTCTCAATAACATCATGTTTACTCTGCAGACATTTTCATAGTGTTCTACCCTTAATTGAACAGAGACAGGAAATCACGACTTTAAAACTTTCGGCGTTAAGAGTAAATGACTCATTCGTTTAGAGACATATCCATAATTATGGAAGTATCTTCCCAAACTGTAATGTTTTCCTCTGCCTTAGTGCTAGCAATCAAAACCACTGAATTAATCTGAGCAGGGTCAGGACTTTGAATCTGAGGAAAATCCCTTGAATTTGAGGCATTACGTGTGCAGTACAAGATGTTCCAGCTACAAATGTTCTGAATCTTGTTTAAAAGCAATGGGGCAGGAGACCAGATAGCCACCCCAAAACCTCCGAGTCCCATAGTGTTTCAGTGTGGCTCCAGAAGTCTGTTGCTGCCCAAGAAAAGGGGAGATGTCATCATTTCGAAAGCATTAGCCGCTCCCTGGGAATGAGCGATAGGTGGTAAAAATTGGAATGTAGAAATTTTCATTGTGTTCTAGAATTGCACAGAAATTTTCTAGGGAAGTATTCTCTATGAATTTCCCAATTTTGTTGACTAATCTTTTCATCCGAAATGTTTTCATCCATATATGAACTTTCTCTCTAACTCCAATGTAGAATCAATTTGGTATCTACTGACTTTCCAGATTCCCCTCATCATTTCTTCTTTTATGTTCCTAGTGCACAGAAGTAAAAGCATTTATCACAATCTTTGGTTACTGATGATGATGGGAGGTGTTTACAGTGTGATGGCTTGAAGTATAAAGTACAAACTTGAAAGTCAGATTTGCACTTACCTTTGACCTTAGGCAGGTTACTTAACCCCTCTCTGCCTCAGTTTCCTCACTTCATGACTTAGTAGTAGTAGCTAAGTAAATAAACTTACTAATAGTAGCTACTTTATGATTTTTTATGAGGATTAAACGTAATGGTACATATGAAATTCTTAAAGAGCTGCAATATAGTAAGTTGTCAGTGAATGTTAGCTCTCAATATTATCCCTCATTGACTCTTCCTGCTACTTTAGGTAGAAATCTCCTTAATAACTGTAACCATAACATGTTTATTTCTTTGTTGATATAGTCAGTGCTCAATACATTATCTGTTGAGTTCAACTGCATTTTTGACAGGAGACAGCTTAGGCTTTAAAAATACTATTTTCTATTTATATTGTCATAAAAGTCATGATGGCTATGCTTTTAACACTTGGCCTACCTGAATGTGGATGGGGATGGTTTTTAAAAGTAAAATAGCTTTTAATGCTGTTTATAACGTATGGCAGGATCAGAAAGGTATATGTGTCATGGCTTGAATATTTGTCTTCTCTAAAACTCATGTTAAGATTTAATCCCCAATGTGGCAGTACAGAGAGGTGAGACCTTTAAGAGGTGATTGGGTTATGAGGGTTCTGCTCTCAAGAATAGATTAATTGATTCCTGGATTAATTGGCTTTCATGGGATTGAGACTGGAAGGAGAGGAAGAGAGCCCTGAGCTGGCATGCTCAGTACCTTTGCCATGTGATACCTTGTGCCAACTTTGTACTCTGCAGAGGGTCCTCACCAGCAAGAAGGTCCTCACCAGATGAAGCCCCTTGACCTTCAATTTCTTAGCCTCCATAACTGTAAGAAAGTTTCAAGTTTTCTTTTATAAGCAACAGAAAATGGACTAGACAGCATGTAAACCAAATTAATTAATATATACAAATTTTTGTAGCACTTATTTTATTCTTTTATATAACAAATGAAATCTTAAATATTATTTTGAAAGAAACTCATAGGAAATGGTCTTAAGCATAATTTAAACTTTAAAATTACATATGTAAAGTTTTCCTTGTCCAAATACGTCAATAGACAAAATGAAAAAGATAAATATTTTGTATAGTTCTCTCTTCTTGAAAAGTATTGCTTTGATTAAAATTCATATTTTCCCAACATTGTTTAATTCATAAATAGTAAAATAAATATGAAACATTTCATCTCAATGTAGTATTTGTTTTTCTTGAAAGCTTTCAAAAGGGAGAGTCAAGAATCCCCAGAATATTAGAAATCTTTCACATTTTAATTACAATCACTATAATCCTGAATAATTTTTTTCTGGCTTGAATCCTAAAATTACCAGTACTTTAATATACAAGATGAAAGTTTGTTTAGTTATACCTCTGCATATTATTGGTTGAAGCAATAATTTCTTGCAATGACTCTAAATCAAAATTTCTGCTTCTCTTTAAAAAGACAGTGGCAGTAAGTTTCTCTCCTTGAGCAATGGGGCACTTACTCTGCCTGGTTTTCTTCCCCATTGTCAGCACAGATACCATTGAAAGAGCTTAGCCCTCATTTAAGATTGGTTCGATATTAGCTTCCTAAGGCTATTTTAACAATTGACTGAAAGCTGGGTGTTTTAAAACAACAGAAATGTATTCCCTCACAGTTCCAGAGGTCAGAAGCCTGAAATCAAGGTGTTAGCAGCACTTGTGTGTTCTGGAGGCTTTAGGAAAGAGTTCTTTCCTTGCCTCTCTTCCAGGCATTCCTTAACTTGTGGCATCATAACTCCAGTCTGAATTGATGAGGTAGAGACCTCCAACTGTACATTGTCTTTTTCTCTCTCTGATTCTCTTCATTTCTTCTGTTTCCTTCTAAAGACACTTACCATTGGATTTAAATTCCACCCTCATCCAGGATAATCTCACCTTGAGATCCTTAATTGAATTACATCTGCAAAGACCCTTTTCCCAAGTAAGTTCACATTCACATTTTGCAGGTGGACATATATTTTATGGTGCTGATTTTTAGTCGACTACAGATACCCTGTGACTAGGTCAGAAATGTGCTAGGAATGAAGATTATATTTGCATGAAGCTAATAATTTTTCACGACTACTTGATCGCACTGTTCAAACTTACGTTATGGCTTCCAGAGACAGCTAGATCTTCCTTATTCATTAACTTTGAAAGGAAACATTCTTCCCTGGGAAGAGGTGCCCAATCCTGTGCTCTTTGGCAAGGTGGGCTTGCCTTATGTGCAGTAACTAAGCCAAGAGTCAGTTCTACTAATAATCCATTAAGATGCTGTGAGGGAAAAATCATCTCCAAATGTGATGGAAATAAATATGTATAAGAAGCATTTCACAGATGAAGAGATTCCTACTTTATTAACCAAGTGCCTGTGTGCTTGGCTTAAATTTTTCACATTTTCAGATACTTAATGTATTATAGAAAATAACATTCAAAGAGGACATAGGTTAGCATTTTGGATTCTTTGAAATGAAGAGCAGGCCAATTTTTAATTTTAAAAAAATACTGTAGATATGATATCCTTAAACAACTCAAAAGTTTTGTACCAAAGGCTATTTTTTAAAGTTGAATCAAAATGAAATAGGTGAGAACACCTATGTTTTGGGATGCAGAGGAATTGACTTTTTTTAAAAGTGGGAATAAATAAGTTTTTTTTTTTTTAAACTTAAAAAGGGTATAGATAGAGGGTTCCTCAGAGGGCAGGGAGAATGAAATGAATTGCCTGAATGTCTACAATATTATACTTTTCTTGTTTATACTAAGCAAAACTAGTATGAATAACAGTAATAAAAGTTATAAAAGGAAATTCATCTTCATGTATGTACATGCAAAATTGCTGCATTTGCAGAATAGTCAAAATTATATATATATATAAAGAGAGACACACACACACATACATATATAACACATATTGAAAATCTTTAAGCACATCTAATTTTTTATGACTCAAAAAAAGTATCCTTATTTAAGAGCTAATATAGCAAAAAATGTTAATGTCCATTAAATTAATTGACTTTGCTCTGATTGAGGGATAATAATTGCAGAAATGAGTAGGGGTATGTGATCTAATACATAGAGATGGAGCATTTTAAGGTCTGGAACTTTGGGGCTGTCAACAGTTATAAGAAAATATAAAGAGAGAGATATATAGAGACAGTAATAACAGGTAGTCCCAGGAGTAGGACAGGTGATTTGTTGCCCAGAATCAATACCATGTTTGCTCTATTTCGTCTTTTTGCAAGACAAAATAGAGATCTAAGGGGCTGGGAAAGGTGACCAATGAGTTGCTTGCATTTCCTCCTCTCCCCTCCCCTCTTCTCCCCTCCCCCCCCCCCCCCCCCCCTCTCCCCCCCCCCCCCTCCCCCCCCCTCTTTTTTTTTTTTTTTTTTTTTTTTTTTTTTGACATGGAGTCTCACTCTGTTGCCCAGGCTGGAGTGCAGTGGTGCGATCTCAGCTCCACCTCCTGGGTTCAAGTGATTCTCCTGTCTCAGCCTCACAAGTAACCAGCATTACAGGCATGCACCATCACACCCGGCTAATTTTTGTATTTTTAGTAGAGACAGTGTCTCAGGATGTTGGCCAGGCTGGTCTCGAACTCCTGACCTTAGGTGATCCACCTGCCTTGACCTCCCGATTATTTTCTTCCTTTATCTTTTTCTTCTATTTAAAACCTCAAAACTTGTTGAAACTCCCTCTCCATCAGATTGTATGTGGACACATTCAAAGAACTGTCCTTGAGGAGAATTTCAAGTATCTTTCATTTTAATGTCTGGCCTTGGTGCTTATTTATGAAGTCCCCTGAATGAATTTATGGGCCAACTTGGGGGCCTAGACTAGCTCAGGAAATCTGGCATTTACTTGGGGTCAAACACAATACCCGCTGTGCAACCACATTCACTTATGCACTGCTCACACCATGCAGCTTGAGAGCTTTGTCCCTGATTCAAATCCGCTGCGTATTATTCAGTCTGAAAATTTACTTTTACACCAAGCGTAGAAACAAAATGAAATACAATTTAAGAAATCAGCTCATAACATTTATAATTAAATTCATTAATCAAGGCAGCTTATGGAAATGCCACATGTGAACTGTAAACTTTATAAATATTCAAGTAGTGAACAACTAGACAATCACATTGGCAGCTTTGTTTCAGTGTGAGTGCAGTAGAATATTACCATCCATCAGCCTGCAGTCTTGTTTTAAAGCTTGTTGAACCATGTATTTCATCAAAAAGAACTTTTGGTTACATTTCTATTTTCATATGTTTTCCATTTACCTTCCTCTCTAGATTTATGTGCCTTCGTACTACTAATTAGCACCTGCAACTGAATTCAGAAAGCAGCACTTGAATCAAACCAAGTCAAGCTGTCTGTGAAGGAAAAAAGCTACTAAGTTCCAAGATTTCTTGTTAATGGATATGAGCAACACACTTTGTTGATGTTCTTATTCACATGTGTCTTCTTAAAATATGAGGGTTTAGTATATGTTCTTTCAGTATATGCAAACCTATATACATGGGTATTTTCAGACTATACTGCAGTGTGCTTGTCTGATTACCAGTTTTCATTCTAGTACAAGAATGGAGGATGTTATTTGTCACATTCATATTGTATTAGCTTAACCTCCTAGGTTTGAGGGGAAAGTTAAAGGAGGCCCAAGCTTTGCATTTGAGGGAACAAGTGAACTGGGTCTTGAAAGATGTCTTAAGAGATCAAAGAGAGAAAGCAAATAGAGGAAACATTAGGAATTGAGGTAAAAAGTGTGTTGTGGAGCAAGGAAGAGCCTGGAGAAAATACTTTTAGTTAAGAGAAACTGTAGCTCAAACAGTCAAATGTAGAAGTATCATAAGGAAGCGAAATTCCCCTCATCCTTTAAGTTCATGTGTTGCCACTGCTATGTAGACTGAAGTCAACCTCTCCTTTTTCCATGTTCCCATGCCTCATAGAACGTGTTTGGAAGTATTCCCTCCTCTTCTGTTTTTCAGAATAGTTTGTGAAAATTGGTATTACTTCTTTAAATGTTTGGTAAAATGCAGCAGTGAGGTCATCAGATCCTCAGCTTTTCTTTGCTGGGAGGCTGTTTATTATGGCTTTGATCTCATTACTTACTATTGGTCTATTTGAAATTTGGACTTCATGGTTCAATCTTGGTAGGTTGTATGTGTCTAGGAATGTATTCATTTCTTCTAGATTTTCCAATTTATTTCCATGTAGTCGCTTATAGTCGCCTCTAATGATTCTTCTAATTTCAGCAGTATCAGTTGTAATGTACCCTTTTTCATCACTGATTTTATTTATTTGTGTCTTCTCTCTTTAATCATAGTCTGTCTAAAGGTTTGTCAGTTTTGTTTATCTTTTCAAAAAGTCAACTTTTTGTTTCACTGATCCTTTGTATTGTTTTCTTCATTTCAATTTCATTTACTTCTGCACTGATCTTTCTTATTCCTTTTCTTCTGCTTAGTTTTGGTTTGGTTTGCTCTTGCTTTTCTAGTTCTTCCAGGTACATCATACATCATTAGAGGGTTTTTTTTTTTTTTTTAAAGCTTTCTTCTTTTTTTGATGTGGGGTATAAACTGTCCCCTTATTACTGCTTGCAACTATATCCCATAGGTTTTGGTATGTTTCTGTTTCCATTATCATTTGGTTCAATAAATTTTTCAATTTCCTTAATTTCCTCATTGACTCACTGATCATTAAAGGGCATATTGTTTAATTTCTGTGTGTTTGTATATTTTCCAGAATTCCTCTTATTGATTTCTAGTTTCCTTCTATTGTGGTCAGAGAAGATACTTCATATTATTTCAATTTTTAAAATCTTTTAAGACTTAATTTGTGGCCTAACATATAGTCTGTCCTTAAGACTGATCCATGTGCTGAGGAGAATATGTATTCTGCAGCCATTGATGAAATGCTCTGTAAATATCTATTAGTTCCATTTGATCTATCATGCTGATCAAGTCCAATGTTTCTTTGTTGAATTTCTGTCTAGATGATGTGTCCAATGCTGAAAGTGGAGTGTTGAACTCTCCAGCTATTATTGTATTGGGATCTACCTCTCTCTTTAGCTCTAAGAACATTTGCTTTACATATGTTGATGCTCTGGTGTTGAGTGCATATATATTTACAATTCTTATATCTTCTTGCTGAATTGACCATTTTATCCTTATGACCATGTGGTCTTTTTTTATGGTTTTATCTAGAAATCTATTTTGCCTGATATAACTGTAGCTATTTGTTATTTTTTTACCTTCAATTTACGTGGA